CTGGAAGTTTAGAAAGGTAGTGCCTACGAGTGCCACTGCTACGTTTGCCAAGGCCAGCCTGAAAACTGTGGTGGGCGTTGTTATAATTCCAGCTTCAACATGTGTACATGAGCGGGCTAATTACCACATAAATACTTGGGCTCCTATGGCCTTAACAGTCTCTACACTGGGTACTTTGGAGCTGAAGCTTTTTAAATTCTTCATTTGTAAGATGGCCTCGTGTCTAGCTGTGGGGTCGTGCACTCACGATGGAACCTCTGTAAGTGTGGGTATCACTTACCCCGTAGCTGTGTCATGCTGACAAGCAATGGCTTTTTTAAATACAAAAGGCAAATGCAGAGAATCCACATTTTTGTCTAGAATGTGAGGAAAGCAGTGAAGTGACGGTCATAATCCGAGCATGTGTGTTGTTGCGCGTTCATCTCGACCACCACCTCAGGTTGAAGAGCCTGCGCCTGCTTGTCTTCCTCTGCAGCACAGCGAGATAAAGCTGCCGTCCTGAGAGCCTGGAGACAGCGCTTATCTCAGCGTGTCCTCTGCCATTTTGCTTCCATGCCGTAGTTCTCCCAGGACTAGTCAGAGTCGACTTTGAGAATGAGAGTCACTATATGTCAGAAATTTTCTTCTATTTCTGTCCAGTTAACACAAACTATACAGAAATCTGCTCTTTGCTCATTTTCAAATACCTAATATTTTATTATGATTATGAAGGACTTAGAAGGTGAAAAAAGTATTTAACTTCCTACCTTTACAATATAATCTGACAACCTCTCAGATGTTTAGAAATTGCCTAAATTCTACTTCATCATATAATGTCTGTGACACATGAGAATTTCTAATGTAGGCAACGAAATAATTACGTTAATTAAATAATTACAAGGAAATGAGATCTTTAAATAACCAAAATTGTCTTCATTGTTCAGCTTCCACAGAAGAGAACGTTGCTTGTAAATGTTAATATGTAACTAGGCGGTCTCGTTCTCCTCTGCTGTTTGCCCGTGATGCAGTGAAGGATCCATATCTAGAGGTTTGACTGCCCTGTCTACAAACATCCGTGCCTACCCAATCTTCTTGCACTGGAAGTTTTATGACAAGAGTGTTCTTGGATGAGTGCTCTTATGTTTCCAGGACTTTTCGATTGAACTTAACTAAGAATAGGGGAAGTGTGGGTTAAGGCTTTTTTTCTTTTGTGCCTTACCTTCCAAAGTGTTAAAAGAGCCTAAGAAAGGTTTGGAATCGTTTTGCATTTTGGATTATAACTTTCCTCTTCCCCAAAAGACTCTGTTGCCATCATTTGTTGTCAAGCATTTTAATGTTTAATCTAGATTTTTTTTAAACATCAAACCATAAAACACAACCAACAGAAAATTTCAGCATGGTAACAAGTTTATGACATACTTCTAGTGACTAAAAGGCAATTTGGACTAAAATCTTCTTAAAAGCACATAATAAATTTTTGATACTGAGCCTACAAAATCATCAAATGCTCATCTGTGATTTTGGATACAGATATTAGATATTGGGTATTAGATAGATATTGGGTATTGGATACAGATGGGTACTTTTTTAAAACCAAATATTTATAGAATTTATCTTGTAAAATAAATTATTTTATTTCTAGAGTCACTAATTTTTTAAGATGTGGGTGAACAAATTCTCTGTAGGAGGCACTTAAATGTGACTTTACATTGTAAAGCTTAACACAGTCTAAGCATTGTATTTTATTTTGTATTTCGAGGGAGAGAATCTGACTGGCTCCGCCTGCATCTGCTGTTTCCTCTCCCCCCCACCACCCTGTCAGTCATGGCTGTGGCAGGGTCATCTCATGCAAACGTGACAGCCAGGCTCACTCTCCCGAGTGAGCCCCTTTCAAACAAGGAAGCGGGGCGTAGGCAGGCACCCGAACATGTCTGCTGCAGCCTTGGACTGGGATAGATTTGTATCGCTTTTGCTACTTTGAAAGCACTAGAAATAAAAAATGCTGACAGTTGATAAGGGCTGCTGGATAAACACAGAAACTCTGTCTGGCAACTAATCCAGACTGGCAGATGTAGATCCATTTGCTGAGAATATTTGAGTTGTTAGGTTCTTAGTTTGTGGTATCAACAATTTTCATTTTAAGATATGTCCTTACTGAAAATAAAAGTACTATCAGAGTAATTATAGCTGAGGACAAAGTTATTACTGTTCATGAAACTGCAATTGAGAATACTGAATAATTGTAAATGTTTGAGAAATTGTGCTGATGAAATCCAAGGCTGATCTGCCCATGATCATAAATTCTTTGTCCATTCTAGGAGATGCTAACCAAACATTGTACACTAAGATGCTAATGTCTATTCTATCTCTTCATTTTTCAGAAGTTTTTATGGTCCTTTCCCTCACTATTAATGCCAAATGCTTTTCTTTAAAGAAAAAGTGATGAAGCAGCGGCTGACTGAAAATTTTCAAATTAAAACATGTGGTCAGGGCCGGCCCCGTGGCTTAGTGGTTAAGTGTGCGCACTCCGCTGCCGGCGGCCCGGGTTCGGATCCCGGGTGCACACCGACGCACCGCTCCTCTGGCCATGCTGAGGCCGCGTCCCACATGCAGCAACTAGAAGGATGTGCAGCTATGACAGACAACTATCTACTGGGGCTTTGGGGGAAAAATAAATAAATAAAATCTTTAAAACATGTGGTCAATCTCCACCCTCATTGTCGAGAGGAGGAATCTCAAATTTCTCCTCTCTCCATTAATGAGGGAGAAAGACCGAGAAACAGAAAGAGAGAAGTAGTATTCTGAAACTGAACCTACGCACTGGGGCAATTGAGAAACTGTCATGTCAATAAATAATTATAATTTTCCCTCTGCTACAGTGATGACTGATGAATTTTGGGGGGAATATTAGTTGCTTGTGGCATACCTTTTAAAACTCTATGACTGTTCCATTTTTTAAAGAACATATCTAAAGTGGAAATTCAGGGGAAAATGCCTCTATTGAACATATAAACATCCCTTCGTGGTCATCATCAGGATTGTTAAGGAAGGAAAGAGATATTGTCTAGACTTCTTATAAACTAGTGTCCCCTTCTAGCCTTTCTCCACATTGTTGCTAAAGTGCAAGTGTGATCCGTTACTTCTTGCTTAACATGCTTTCTGAGTTTCATTGCTCCAGGATAAAGACCACCGTTATCAACATGAGCCACAGGCCCTGCCTGTGCGGTCTGGCCTCTCATCCATTTCCAGGCCCATCTTATCCCTTTGCTCTCTGACTTCTACTAGCTCTGGCCCCCTTCTTCCTTCTTACGGGACATGTGCCTCCCCCGATAAGCCCAGCATTTCTGCCTGAAACGTTCATCCTGTCCACCACCCTATCCCACCTTCGTTTCATCCCTTTGCCTAATTGATTTTTATTAATTCTTCAAAATTTAACTTGGCCATTACTTACTTTCTCAGTGAAAACCTTCCCTGTGCTCCCCAAATTGATATATCCTATCAATGCGTCGTATACATCTCTTTCAGAGCAGTTTTCACAGTTATTTTATGTTAATTTAAAGAGTTATTTGATTAATAATATTTAAGAATGGCTTCCTCTATAGACTGAATGAAGAATCTTCGTTTTAATTGTACTTTTTTATTGTACTTTTTTTTTTTAAAGATTTTATTTATTTTTTTTTTCCCCTTAAAGCCCCAGTAGATAGTTGTATGTCATAGCTGCACATCCTTCTAGTTGCTGTATGTGGGACGCGGCCTCAGCGTGGCCCGAGAAGCGGTGCGTCGGTGCACGCCCGGGATCTGAACCCGGGCCGCCAGCAGCGGAGCGTGAGCACTTAACCGCTAAGCCACGGGGCCAACCCCTGTACTTTTTAATTTCTTTTGCGGGCATATATTTTTTCTTTAAGATCTTATGATATTTCTAAATATTGTAAGCTAATATATGCTTTTAATTCCGAAATTAAAAGTAATTGTCAATGAAACCATCAGAACCCTTCTAAAGTGTGAATATAATAAAACACCGCCCCCTTTAGAGAACATGAAATTGGAAAGAGTGGAAATGTCAGTTGAGTTTACTTGAGAAATAAACCAACAACAGAAATGTTTCCAACCAGTGCTAATGACCTCTAACAATTCTAGATTCCCATCCCACAATTACTTGCTCAAAGTAGATAGGCTTTTGTAGTACCAGGTTAGATCTGAGAATCCACTTGGCTCTATTACCCCCAGGGCTTTAAAGTAATCACAGGAGTCGTGATGAACTGAAAGGCATGAACGTTGTGCAGCTGTGTGACAGCCACTGATGGGCTGCATCCAGACCACTTTCCTGATGCTTCCTTCAATCTCGAAAGTCTTTTTACATCTTCAGATAGTCTTCTTCCTTTCTCTTTTCCGTTCCGTTTTCACATTTAACATCTTTTTCCTTAGAGAAGGAGGGCCTTACTTCATTTAGATAAAATACTCACGTGAGCATGGAAGATGTTTAGAACTGTCAGAAGTTCAGGAAAAACAGGAGTACAACCAGTGAATCACTCAGGTAGTTATTAGCAAAAATTCATTGTGCACACACCAAAAAGCCAGTTTGCAAACCAGCAGCACTGACACTAGAACACGGAGGCTCCGAGGGATACTGTCATAAAGCAGCTTATGTAGTGTGGTGGTAGTGGCTGTTTGTATTTTTCAGTAGTTAGTTACCGTATCAGAATTTTCTTAAATGAAAGAGAATTGGTTAGTGGTTACTTCATATCAATTTGGGGGAACAATTTAAGTTTCACTTATGATTTTTAGAGGCATAAGCAAGAAGTGACCCAGGTCAAATTAGCCTCGCTTGTCTTGCAAAATAAGCTAAATTTAAGCTTTGCTCGTATGACTAAACTGGTTTTGTCTGCTCAGGAATTTTCAGATCTGAAATCCATTTGTGTTTGATTTTAACGGTACTGTCTTCTTGGAATCAGTTATCTCTGTGAGTTTCCCTCACACACTCAAGTCTGCACATAAATGTTTTCCTTAGCTTTCCTTCTCAGTTTCATTCGGGGCCACATTTCAGGCAGCATCAACATTCCATTCAGCGCTGCATTCACTGCAGAAGGGGGGCTTACCCAGGGCCCTTACACCGCTATGCTGCAGAGCTTCAAAGGGAAGGTCATTGTCATCGTGGGGCACGTGGCAAAGCACACAGCAGAGGTAAGTGTACTCAGAATGTCATGTGCGCATGATGATGAGTTATTTACGTGCCTGCTATCACAGATTGTCAAAAGTGTGTTTCTTTAGAAATTGGTCACAAATCAAATGAGCTTTGAAGATGTGTCTATATTCTTACTTTTCCCAATAAAAGAATTCAAGCTTTTTTCCTCAGTGTGCAGCATCAGGATCAATAGTGAGCTTAGAAAAATCCAAATGATAGCCTAAAGGGTTTTTATTTTAACTGCTTTCTGAAGTTACAAAGAATTGGCTCCAATTCCTTCCAATGGAGAAGAACACTGGGGCTTGATTGGAGGCTCTGAAAGCTGGTCATGATGGAATTTGTTGGATTTGGGAGTTTTGCTTTCTCTAGGCCCAAAGCTTTTTGATGATAGAAAATTCAGGAAGGTTATCAACTTTCAGGTATGAGGGGTATATGAAACAATAAAATGGCTTCCCTCTCCCCTTGCTATGTTCTATGCAAATTGAAAAATAAAGAGTAGCAGATGGAGGTCAAAAATATCACCTTTATTTATTTTTTTTAATTATATGAAGTTTTTTGTTTTTTGTTTTTTTGGTGAGGAAGATTGGCCCTGAACTAACATCTGTTGGCAATCTTCCTCTTTTTGCTTGAGGAAGATTGTCACTGAGCTAACATCTGTGCCCACCCTCCTCTATTTTGTATGTGGGATGCCTCCACAGCATGCTTGATGTGCTGTGTGTAGGTCTGTGCCCGGGATCCAAACCCGTGAACCCTAGGCCACAGAAGCAGAGCACCTGAACCCAACCACTATGCCACCAGGCCAGTCCCCACCTTTATTTTTTATAAAAGACAAGTTGGAGAATGTAGTTTCCTATGAGAGCCCAATGGGCTTGCTCACAAATCCCCCGAGTTAGAGAACAATTCTCCTCTAAAGGGAGGGAAGACTCTGCTCCTGGAAGAGTAGCAGAGGTGGCCTCTCCCTGCAGGCCGCTTATTCCCAAGAGGAAGGGCGGGACTGAGCCTTCACAAATTTACCAAATAAATCCCTCCTCTTCCCAGGGCAGAGTGAATAGAGGGACAGAAAGGTCATGAATACACTTAGGAAAATCTCCTCCTCAAAGAAATCAGCACTGGAGATAAAACATTCCCCTCTAATACGTACCTTCCCTTTGTCTGTATAAACTGGATAATCCAGAAATGTGATCACTGGAAATGTAGTCAGATGAGAACTTGCAGACTTTTAGCCATAGGCCACTGTAAGCATCCAGTAATCCTTGTCTCAGAGGGGCAGGGCCAGTGGTCGCACTGGCTGCTGACACTGAAGGAAGGTCGTCCTTGATCATGGTGCTTATCTGACCACACTGAAGGAGTGTCTGAGACGTAGTAGTTATAAATGATAAATCACTCACTCCTCTTTGATAAAACTAGATCCAGCGGCTGACAAGGAACAATCTACATATACCTATTTCAGAGAAAGTAGAGTAAATGACTAATGTGCAATTTTAAGTAAATTAGAGCGTTTTAGAACAAAAGCCACGGTATCTAAATTATTTTGATGTAAATTGTTAAATTATTATTATTATTTTACTACTACCACAATACTGCTGCTGCTACATTAATCTGTATTACCATATCATTCCAATGAAAAATATCCATTTTCAATTACAGTGCATATCAGTACATTCAACCCACAGAAATACTATTGAAAATCACATATTTCTGGGTTCCAAGTCATATACAGCCTTAGGAAGAAATCCTTACGATGATGATAATCCCAGTTATTGCTGGTCTTTGTGTGCTAGGCACTTTACATGTGTTATCTCATTTTATTGTTCATAACAATTCTATGAGGGAGGCATTATTCTACAGATTTTACATATGAGAAAAACTTAGACTCCAAGTTTATCTAATTGGCCTGTGTCAGAGCCAGGATCAAAACATGAGTCTGCGTGACTCCACAGGCCATACCCTTAACCCAGTGACCTCTTGAGGCTTTAGAGTCTGAATGCTGCCATTTGTCCTGCTTTTTTAAAATAGGCTTATTCTGACTTTTCACAGATCACAGTAGTTCTTCCCAGTGTATGAAACCAAGACCTGAAATAACCTTTTTTGCTCTAAGTGCTGTCAAGCTTAAGGCTCTATTTTCATAAAGCATTCATCATTTGAAAGATGGTATCTAATTTGTAGACCGTGTATGATTTAATCTTCTTAAATATGCCAAATGTTTCCAAACATTCTGCTGATTGTATTAATCTCCAGACTTATATTTATTCTGATTTTATCATAAAGGTCAAAACATATGTATAAATAAGTAGATAACTCATTTTTTTCATTAAATAATCAATTATAAAGCATTTGTCATCTGTTATATGCAAGACACTGTGAATGCTGTAGTCTATCACAGTGCAAATAAATTTAAAAGTTCAAAATATGAAGGAAATCTGGAAGCATAACCATTCAGATAAAGTAATAACAATATATGATAATAATAGTAATAAATAGCCATCACATTCTGAATAAATTAGCAAATGTCTTGCTTATCAGAAACCAGATGCCATCATGAACAATTCCTTCTTCAAACTCTCTGTGTTCATTCATACTTGTAGACAACAATGACTGAAAAAATTATATGCTCAGCTGTTAATGCTTCAGTCCACATCAGGAAATAAATTTTGAGAAACAGTTTTAAATATTTGTGTAGAGATGTATCTTTAATAATTTTTCTCACAATGGAGCTAAAGAGAACTTTAGACATTTATTTGCTTAGACTGTCATCATCATTTTGTCTGCTGTATAAATCTGCACGGCTTTACTAATGCTTGCATCCCCAGCCCCCCAGTTGGAAGCGCCTCAGTTTAAAGATATTTCCCGGAATTCTACGATGTATCCATGGTCGTGCTGGATATCTTCCATTTGCCCCACCTCCCATCCTAGATCCATCCTCCGCACTTCTTCGCCCTGCTCTCCAACCCAGCGGCTGCCTTCCGGGTCCTCTGGCTTCAGGTTGTTGAGCTAATGGGGAGCTCTGACAAGTCATGGGAGGGAGGGAGGTCAGGATATTTATCTCCCTATCTTCCCTCAAAACCTGTTGCAGGGTTACTGTGTCCCTCTCCTGGAGGGTAACATTTCTCTGCAGGAAGCCTTATTGACACCCCTCTCTCTTTCCAGCCCCTGGTCCCTTTGCCTCCAGGGGTGGCAACAGCCCTGGTTTTTGATCATGCAGGGTTACTGCACTATCCCTTACAGTCCTCTTACATCCCACTCACACCTCTAAAGTAAATCTCTTTATAAGTAAACCCTTCTCAGTTATCCTAAAGGCTTCTTGGAACGCTGACTGTTACCAGGATACTATTTAAATGCATGATTTTTCAGTCAGCCTAGATTAGCTGCTCTGTTCTGTTTCTTCCCAGTTGTTAATTTGGGCAAGTTATTTAGTCTCTCTAAGTAACAATTTGTTGGTTTATAAAACAGGGAACATAATACCTACCTCATGGCATTGTTGTGAAGATTTCAAATTAGGCATATAAGGTTCAGTGCAGAGCCTGATGCTGGTAAGCACTCAATTAACTTCAGCTATTAACTTTATTTTCCAGTACCATCATTTGCGTAGATGTGAAATTAATAAGTACTCTTTTATGTATGACGGTAGTATAAGGGTTCTAGCATTTGGGAGAATCAGCAAAATGGCAGAGTAGGCAGCTCTACTCTCCCATTCCTCCGCGTAAACATCGACAGCAAGTAGAAACCAGACCATGTGGAGTAGAAGTGGCAGACGCAGGGGTCCTTGTCCTCTTCCTGGCCTTAGGGGAAAAGCGTTCAGTCTTTCACCGTTGAGTATGGTGTTAGTTGGATTCTTTCATATATAGCCTTTGTCATGTTGGGGAACTTCTCTTGTATTCCAAGTTTATTGAGTGTTTTTATCATGAAATGGTGTTGAATTTTGTCAAATGCTTTTTCTGCATCAATTGAGATGATTATGTGTTTTTTCCCCTTCCTTCTATGAACGTGGTTTATTGTATTGATTGATTTTCATGTTCCATAGCCTCGCATTCCTAGCATAAATTCCACTTAGTCGTGGTGTGTAATCCTTTCAGTATGCTCCTGAATTCGGGTTGCTAGGATTTGTGCATCAATGGCTCATCAGGGGTACTTGTAGTTTTCTTTTCTTGTAGTGTCCTTGTCTGGCTTTGATCTAAGAACAGTGCTGGCCTCTTAGCACAAGTGAGGAAGTGTTCCCTCCTCTTCCGTTTGTCAGAAGAGTTTGAGAAGGATTGTTATTAATTCTATCCAGAACAATTAGGCAAGAAAAAGAAATAAAAGGTATCAAAATTGGAACATGTCTTAATTTCCTAGGGCTACCATGAAAAAGCAACACAAACTGAGTGGCTTAAAACAACAGAAATTTATTCTCTCATAGTTCTGGAGGCTAGAAGTCTGAAATCAAGGCGTCAGCAGGGCTATTCTCCCTCTGAGTCTCTGGTGGAATCTTTCCTTGCCTTTCCCCAGCTTCTGGTGGTGGCCAGCAGTCCTTGCCACCCACAAAATGGGAGAAAATATTTATAAATTATATATCTGATAAAGATTTAATATCAGAATATAAAATCAACACACAAAGATCAGTTATATTTCTGTTCGCTAGCAACTCCCACAACTCAACAACAGAAAGACAACCAAATTTAAAAATGGGCAGATTTTCGCATACAACAATACGTTAAAAAGATTATACACCATGATCAAGTGGGATTTATTCCAGGTATGCAGGGATGGTTTAACATTCGCAAATCAATCAAC